ATCACGCCACCTGTTTCTAGAAATATCCTGTTCCTTCATGAATGCCCTAGCATTTACTAGATATGTGTTAGTCTTGCATATATAAGACCGGCCACGAAGCGACGGGGAAGTAGTGAGTAATTGAATTGAGTATTGTTGAAGTCGAGCACGTGAGACGTTTGTTATAGCGCGACTGTTGAAATTAAGTGTATCGCAAAGTTATATTCCGAAAGAATAAACCAGTTTTATTTAAGAAAGGACTTGTGTCGCTAAAGTTTCGTTGGAACGAATTTACGGAAAATTAATTAACAAACGGAGACGTAACAATATTATAACGCACCCATGATACCAAAGTGCGGAGCACGATTTTGCAACAACGGGACTCAAATTAGAAAATCCTCGAATTTACAGTCCGCGGGCTTCTCCTACTCCTAGGCCATGTCCAGTTCGTAAGTGACACAAGAGATTAAGAATTCAAATTATTTTGAAAAATAATAGTGTGAGGTGTCAGTAATCTTAATTTAGTCGCTTTGTAAGTGACGCTTATTGGACACGTCTAAAACTTAGTAAAAGGGATCTAGTGGTATAGGCTTTAAAGCAGATCATATGAAGACAAAAACATATTAGTGTATACCACGTAAATACAGCAGCTTGATAAAGAAACGTTGAATGGGAAACATACTCGGTTGCTAAGCGATGATCATAATTACATGGGGCCTCTCAGTGGTAAGTCTGAACGCTTATAACTTTTTGTGTAGCTTTGCGCTTAACAACAAACAAACGTAATATCAAAATAATTCCATGGAAACGTAGGAAGTGAATTGTGTAAGACTATGAAAAAGAAATTCCGAAAGCTTAATGCCACGTGCTTGTTGTTGTAAAATAGAATATCACAGTACAAATTCTAAACATTTTTAAAGAAAAATTTGAAACTTGTTGTGAACCAGACTTTCGTGCGAAATACGCCACCTGTATCACAATTTGATGCCAATTAAAATCTCTTGCAGCAACACAAACATTACGGCTTAATTTATTGCACTTATGTTTTGAAATATTTTTATTATTCCAGAAATTCTTCATAATACATTATTTTAACACTTTAAAAAATATTGATAAAAATATGTTTGACTCTCCACGAATTTGCTGCCCTATAAAGGAAACATGCAAAAAATAAAAGAAATGAAAAAAAAGCTTATTTTTATTGGATTAAAATGCTATCAGCCTTTAATGAATAATTCTCAAGATCAATAAATGTTTTGCAAAAATATAGTTAATAGCAACCCCAAAAGTTACAAACACAACCCACCGTTTAGGAGTTTGTTGTGAAGTTAACGAGATGAACGTTATTCTGACAATTTCTTTCATTCTCGGTTTTCAGCGTGTGTAGAAATATGAGTTCATATTTCACGAATTACAATACGTGGAGGAAAGAAGAAAAAAAAACTCTTCTGTTGCATACTTCTCGATAAAACATACCTACTAGTATGAACCAGTTTACAGAACTGAAAGAGTGAAAACAAAAAAACAAACTCGGATAATACATGTACCACAGCATCAATTGTGAGGCCAGCAGCGATTCAAACAAGCCGGAAGAAGTGTCACGCTTATACCCAAATTATTATATATTTTTTTCAGAATACAAAATCGTCATAAGCTAAGCAAGGGCGTGCATAAATAGGGTGTATCTGTGTGTGTATGCAAGATGGAGACTCCTGCAAGTCAACGATAACTCTGACAAAACGTTCAAAGCTCAGTATAACTCATTAACTTAGTTTTCTGTAACCATATTTATTATATCTATTATACAGTGTTAGTACTTTTTTCCACACTGTCTGAACTAACGAAAAGAGAGAAGAAAAAAAAGAAGGTTTCTTTGTCCTCAATAAGAGTTCGAAG